CCAGGGCCGGCCAATGACTGACCTTACCAGAGCTTCCAGAACCACTAGGTTCATGATTTGTATATCCGAGACTTCCTAGGTACAGATCCTAGCCAGTAGCTTCGCAGCGTTCTCTGCGTCGACCCCGGGGGGATGTTGAGTGAAGGTGGGCTTGACTACTTTGTCACGTGAGGCTGCAGAGGCATCTGGGAGGTTGTAGAAATGCTTGTCCAGGTTCAGGAACAGTGTACATTTTACAAGTATTCAGTGCTTAAAATCATTAAAGTTATATTTTTCGCATAGTAAGAAAGTCTATTTACATAAAATATTTTAATCTATTTACATAAAATATATTAGTCTATTTACATAACTGTATTCGTCTATTTTTATCAAATATATATAGCAATTACATGGCAAAAATAATTAGAGAATTCATCAGGAACAGGCATAAGTCTTGGGATGACGTGAGTAAAAATTCAGTTGAAGTCGTCTGATGGGCTGCTGAGCCTTTGGGAGAACCTTTTAATGGAAACTGGGTAATATCCTGGTTACACATGGCGAATTCAAGGTCATTTAGATGTAGAAGGTTATGTTCTTCCCTACGTGAGTCACTTTGGGACTTGCGGAATGAGAGGAAATAAAGAAACAGTTGCATTTAATTTTCCTACCAAGCAGGTGCTTCGAAGCAGACTATGCATTAGTGACATCAAGTGCTCAAACATTTCTCTTTGGGAAAAGCAACCTTGTTGTACAGTGACTATGAAAAATGGCTACGAAAATGTCCTTGAAGCAGCTCCTTTCAAATGACATTAGAAGAATGATCTCATGCCATGGTAAAAGCCAGGAGAGAGTTTAAAAGGTGAAAATTATTTGTCCAGAGACCTAAGCTGATAAGAAAAAGGAGAAAACCAGCAATTCAATGCATAGACTTTAAGAGATGTTTAAGAGAATTTATCCGCATAAAAGTGACGATGAATAATAAATTCCAAAATTTCATGTTTGATTGCTGGACACGATTCAAAATGTAGAGGTATTCTACATTTTGAGGCTGTAATGTAACTTTATTCCTCAGAGTTTGTGGATTTTTACATTTAAGATAACATAAAACAAGTTATTCAACTTGGTGACGGCTACTGGCTGGAACTCCAAAGATAACGGCTAGGTTACAACTCCAAAACCTAGCCATTATCTTTGGAACCTAGCATTATCTCTCGAAACAACAATATTCACTAGTTCCGAGAGATTCACATCTGCTCGGAGATGCGCTTCTCTTAGCAGTAATACTAGCAGCCAAAGTTCGACTTAGAACAGTGGTTACGATTTACGTTTAAACTTCTCAGCTTGCCATGAAATTTACATAGCCCTCTGGGTGACGAAACAGGATCTAAAAGTAAAGAAAAACAACATAAAGCCAACTGTTAATAAAAACTTAATCAAATGTTACATAGTTACTGCTCGTAAATTTTTATGGAAAATAACACATATTTTCTTTTAAAGTTCTTAGTTTCTTTATTAGTATTAGCTTAAAATCTAAATTAATTTACGCGATAATTTTTGTCTCCATTAAATTATACCAAATCTTAATTTTTTTTCCATTTCTGATTTTATATTTCCTTATCAAGGGATGCAATTTTAACACTCAAAATTTTTCCTACCGTTGTTACAATGACGTCGTACCTAATTTATTCTTATAATATGTTGATCGAAATCTTCTCGGTACATATAATAAATTTAACTGAATTAAAGATAACGCAAAATTAATACTGTTGTGCTTCGCTTGGCTTTACCTTTCCTTAACATTCTGTATGCCTTAATTAACTTCTTGATTCAAGGATTCTCAGAAGGTATAGCAACTTGAAATTTGATTCCAAATCAAAAGCAACACAGAAATTATCTTTTAGAATATGATACAGTTAATTAAGCTACGACTTTGTTTATGCTTGAACGCGAGCTGTATACTTCGAAACGTCATTTCTGTAATAAATTTTGAGTTGGCGAAAGCAGTAAAATTTGTGTAGTTAAAGTATTTAAATAATTTTCGCGATCTTTTAATCTTCTACTATGAACTTCAAACGTTAAATTAATGAACTCCTTATGTAATTCAAGTTAATACGGAGCAAAAGAATGAACATTATAGAGAATTAACTTGAGAAGTCGTTCATTTAGTACGTTTCCGTTCCCAAACTTCTGTTAGGTTGTTGATCTGACTTAATTCTTCACCTTCACCTCCACCTCATTTTTATCTTTATTTAATTTTAACTCGTTACACTAATGTAACATTTACATATTAATTAACTATGTAAATAATACACACACACATATATAATTGTTGCGAAATACCCAGCGGCTACGCGGTGAGATCCCGCAAAGCGGGCTTAGGGCTGTCAGAATGTGACAGGGAAAGGCAGGGTTGCCAGATTTGGTGGGAAATCGACACTATTATATGCATATTCGCACTCGTCTCCTGCGCTAGCCTCTATCGGCGTCACTGCCATCTCTTGGCAGATAACACTTCCGTGAAACATTTGCTTTAATGAAAGTAACTAATATTTGTATAGAATATGTTGTTGAGTATGATACTGTTATGTTGTTAGATATATTGTTCCGCATTTGTTACGTATTTAAAAACTATTAGTGAAATTATACATGAAATTGTTGTATTTTTTGTAATAGTGTAACACGAAATACTTGAAAGAGAGGCTTTGCCAGAAAAATATTAATACAAAGGCAAGTCTGCTTAACATTGAGCAAATGGCTAATTTGCTAAATTGGCAAGATATCGCCAAGTTGGCGATGGTTTTGGCAACTAATTTTTGTCGCCAAATTGGGTAAGAAATCCCCAAACTCGCCAAAGATGGCGACCATTTTTCAAGATTTTGACCCGATTCCTGTATATCTGTAATGGTTATTGTAATTGAATAACTGTAATTGATCCTATATGTAACTGTTACTGTATCCGGCCATCATATACCTTCATGTAATTTCGAGAAGTGGAAGGTATTAGAGATTTCTCGGCAGCCAGTGGACAACTATATGAGACGAGAGAGAGCATCAGTTTCTCTCTAGTTGTTTAGTTCAGCGAGAGCTCAAGCGAAGCTCACACTTGAGATATCTCAGTGTAAGCTTCGCTGTTTAGATTCGCTTTGCATTTCGTGGTGTTTAACGCTTTTAATAGTTTGAAATGTAACTACTAATTGCATTCTGTGATTCTGTGAAGAGCTGTACGAGTATTCTTTTGAAAAATTCTAGAACTGTGAATTGTTAGAGACATTAGGAAATTTGGAAGCAGAAAAGATGAAAAATGAGCAACGCCTTCGCCGGGAATCGAACCACAGACCTCTGGAATACGCGCCGAGCGTGCTGACCACCACACCACAAAGGCATGCTAAGAAGGCGGGAGAAATACCTTATAAAGTGTTTCTTTTGGTAGAATAAATTTTATCAAACTATCATCGGTTCTGTGTGCATTCAATCTGTCACGAACCCGTAGGAAAGCAGCAATATTAGGACTAAACATGTAATCTCACATTGTATATATAATTCAATAATTATTAAATGTCTTCATGTTTTGAAAGAAATTACAGTTTCTTTTGCCACTTAGCCTAATTTTATCATAAATGGTAAAATAATATTTATCCGGCATAAATACCATCTTCCTACAGGCAACATGACTAGAAGCACAAACATATATACGCCATCTTGGTATATGTATTGACCATATAAAGTTAATGAGGATGATCTGTTAGGAAGAACTAATTTTTAGTATGTTTCCAACTGGAAATTTCGTTAGCAAATTTCAAGTAGTGAAAGATACGTTTATGACTCCAAAGTCTGTCTTAGAAATTTAACAAATGTGATTTATTCAGTGTAACTGAAAGGCTCATTCTAACCCAGTGGAGAAAAACCTCGATGAATCCTTCAGTTTACCCGAACGTACTATCAGCGGAACAAAATGCAAGTACTCTGGCCTTTCATTTAACCTAGATGCTGTTTACTAAACAGTGAAGCTGCAGCTGCAATCCTCAAGTTTATTTTATATATCTCGTTTATCGAAGTCTGCTCGGTTAAACAACTCTCTAAATATTTTTTAGCGTATAGTATATTTTCAACTTTTCTTACAGAGTGCTCGATTTGCAAGAACCGTGCCGTCAGAGTAGGATGTCAAGGGATTAAATTCTTCCTAAAACTTTAAATTTCCGCTCTGGGACGCCAAGCTAACGAATATTTCTAATTTAGCCGTTGAGAAGGATTTGGAAAATCCCTGTGGCAGGAAACGATATTTCCGTCCTCTCGAAAATGCCGAAAAGTACATTTTGCGAGGTTATCCTTCCAGATTCTTCTTCAATTATGCAGAACGTCTCGTAAAGGACGGACTTGGGATATAGGAAGTAATTCACGTTTTGGGGTAAATATCGATTACTTATGGAAGCCGGGACGGATTCGTTATTTCGTTTTATTCAGTTTGGTCTCTTTTATTTTTAATGGGTTTGAAGGGATAGAGATTTCTTTGCGTCTGAGTGTCTGAAACATTAATGGAAAAGATTTTGAGTTCCTCATACTCGAGTGGATAGAGATGGAAGAGATCTGCGCTGTAATCGTGCTTCAGTGTTTCCGAGGAGTGGATTGCATGTGTTCTTTTTATTTTGATATTCAAGAGGAAGTACATATTTTCATTCTTCGAACTTGAATTATTTACGTCTTAAAATGAAAATCTTCCCTGTGCGCAACATGTGTTGCTTTATATTGAATTTGGATAAAATTAAAACAATGCTCAAAATCACTTAGAAATTTTTTTTCAATCAAATTTCTATGGAATGTTATGAGATATGGTTATTAATCCTGAAAACATTCTACGTAAAATATTTATTTTATGAAATAAAATTTTTCGTTGTATTCCTTTACACGTGCTGCAAAATGCTTTAAATGTGACTTATAATTTCATTAGGCGATGAAATATGTTTGTAACTGTGTTGTTCTAAACGGTTTTTTTTCTCTTAACAATGCCTTTCTTTCTTTTATAGGCTCGTGTCAGATATCTTGGTCCCTCTATCTTCTATGTACAGGAGTGGGAATGCTGTTGGTGTGTGTGATTCTTTCCTTGAAAGCTTCGAGAGTGAAACCGAACTCTTTCCGCATTTGACACGACCACCACACGTCCATCACTCTCCATCACCGCAACCAGCATCAACATCAGCGTCACCATCGTCGGCACCGTCCGCGTCAGCAGAGCTTTGAGATGCAGATTCAACATCTGGACGAGGAAGATATCGCCACCATCACGCGCAGCTGACAAAAGCTTTCCCCTAACGAATCTAGTAATCCCCTGAAATCCTTCACTCTGAAGAGAACCAGGAAGAAAACTAGCGACGATAACTCCCTCTGGATGGCATCCCTGTAACAGGCCGAGAGCTGCCATCATGTATGTGACGTAATTTCAAAAGATGGACGTTGTCCGAATTATCAAATGGGTATTGCTTAATTACACGGCATTGTGTCTTCAGAGATATGTGGGCTGGAATTTCATCCATCGACAAACATCTCCGAAGTAGCTGTTGTCCCAGATGCCTTGAATCATCGCAAATGATTGAACTTTATGTTATTCAGTCATTATTCAAATAATTAAACTGTAGAAAGGTTCGACAAGACAATATTTTAAAACTTTAAAACAGAGCTGTTGTGAGGTAAATACTTCATCCGTAAACGTTTTCTATCATTGCTTGACCAAACGAACTTGAATCCTTAGTGGTAAAAATTCGATGTTGTCATAATGTATGACCGCTTTAACCGAATTCCATCCAAATATCCTCAAAGCAAAAGACTTGAATAGTCGTATGAAAACAAGGACTGAAAACATTCAAGGTTATAAGGGTAACGGAGAATGGCGATTTTTTAATGCTGTGGAAATCGCATTTAAATATAGCTTCTGAGAATTTCTTTTCGACAAACGACGAACTACTACTTTTTGTATTAATCATTTGTATTCGCGTTTTGAAAACTATGTTTCTTATACGCTGTGGATCTGTGCTTAAACATTTATCTTGCTACTGAGAGCAAAGATAAAAATCGGCAAAAAAAATTGTATATAGACGTTAATGTCAAGTTTATAGAGCTATGGAATTTCAAATTTTATATAAACGAATTAATGAACTTTTCGACTAAACATGCTAAAGTGAATGATGGAATCTAGCATCGTCTACAAAAGATCTTACTTATAAAAATATTTAAAGGAAATTTTGTTTGTTGTGAGAATTCAAATTTTAGCCATTATTTGTTAAGGCATTTTCAATTTATAAAATTTCAAAGTGTATTTTCAATAAATCATTTATTTCATTGAAATCTTTCTTAAAGTGAACTGTCTGTTATTGTTGCCTCTTTTATTTAGTTTTTTCAACAAAATAAATAAATACACCAGCAGATGAACTTTCTATTCACTTGGCAAATCATATTTATCCTATCACATGAGTATCAAAAATGATTTTCTTACGATAGCAAAAATGCAGAAAAGATTATATTTTCTTAATAAGTGAGCTTTTATTTCGTTCACAAGATATTAAACTATTAATTCCGTCCTAAGAGAGAGTTAACAGTGTTTCTTAAATGGTTATTTATTATGATAAACTCTTTCTAAAAACGATTAATTATATTAATGTTTTAAATTTCATAATCGAAATATAAGCTATTCTTGCACAGCAAAAACTATAAAAATAATAATGTAATATAGTAATTGCTCATAAATATCATAATAACACTACAAAAGAAGCAAAAATTAAGAATAAATTAATTTAAATATTAATTTTAAAATTCATATGTAGTTCGATATAGTGTGAATTCATTCTTTCACTTTCATATCTTCCTGAAATCAGCGAGTTTAATTATTAATTTAGTTCTATCAGATGTTTTAATGAATTTTTAATATGATATAACGCGTTTAGAACAAAAATGCGAAGTATCATAACAGCCGGTTAAAGACTTTAACTGCATTGATGTTTGGCAGACGGTATTTTATCAATTAAAAACGCAAAATAAATTATAAAAAATACTTTTTAAAGCATGAACGTTTTATAGAGCAATGCATTTTTTAGAACAATGCTTGAAGAAGAATTTTTACGTCTTGCTAACAGAAAGAGCATGTCTGGGACAAATAATTAAAATATGCTTTCAAATAACAACTTCGTACATTACGAGTGACGCTAGTTGATCTCTGTATACACACAGTGTTAGGTAATTGCATTGGACTTTTAATTAATTGGATAGTTAAAAATCCAATGATTTTTAATTTTCAGGACCAGTTTCACCATTTCACTATTTATATTGCATAATTCAGTTTTCAGGTTAGTGTTAAAATAGATAGTATGCATGGTGGGGATACTAGTGCGGCAGGACTGCACCACTGTGTTCTGCGCACTTCTGCCCGTACCTGTTCAACCAAAAGCAACGTGGAATAATGCGATACCATGCATGAATGTCATAAAACACAATTCTTGCTTTTTACCAAGTTAGAAATAACATTTATATTATAAATAATCTTATTTCTTAATAAGTAATATAATTCTGAAGTTTGGCAGTGACAATTCAGATTCGAAACCATAGTCGGCACCGTCCGCGTCAGCAGAGCTTTGAGATGCAGATTCAACATCTGGACGAGGAAGATATCGCCAGCAGCTGACAAAAGCTTTCCCCTAACGAATCTAGTAATCCCCTGAAATCCTTCACTCTGAAGAGAACCAGGAAGAAAACTAGCGACGATAACTCCCTCTGGATGGCATCCCTGTAACAGGCCGAGAGCTGCCATCATGTATGTGACGTAATTTCAAAAGATGGACGTGTCCGAATTATCAAATGGGTATTGCTTAATTACACGGCATTGTGTCTTCAGAGATATGTGGGCTGGAATTTCATCCATCGACAAACATCTCCGAAGTAGCTGTTGTCCCAGATGCCTTGAATCATCGCAAATGATTGAACTTTATGTTATTCAGTCATTATTCAAATAATTAAACTGTAGAAAGGTTCGACAAGACAATATTTTAAAACTTTAAAACAGAGCTGTTGTGAGGTAAATACTTCATCCGTAAACGTTTTCTTATCATTGCTTGACCAAACGAACTTGAATCCTTAGTGGTAAAAATTCGATGTTGTCATAATGTATGACCGCTTTAACCGAATTCCATCCAAATATCCTCAAAGCAAAAGACTTGAAATAGTCGTATGAAAACAAGGACTGAAAACATTCAAGGTTATAAGGGTAACGGAGAATGGCGATTTTTAATGCTGTGGAATCGCATTTAAATATAGCTTCTGAGAATTTCTTTTCGACAAACGACGAACTACTTTTTGTATTAATCATTTGTATTCGCGTTTTGAAAACTATGTTTCTTATACGCTGTGGATCTGTGCTTAAACATTTATCTTGCTACTGAGAGCAAAGATAAAAATCGGCAAAAATTGTATATAGACGTTAATGTCAAGTTTATAGAGCTATGGAATTTCAAATTTTTATATAAACGAATTAATGAACTTTTCGACTAAACATGCTAAAGTGAATGATGGAATCTAGCATCGTCTACAAAAGATCTTACTTATAAAAATATTTAAAGGAAATTTTGTTTGTTGTGAGAATTCAAATTTTAGCCATTATTTGTTAAGGCATTTTCAATTTATAAAATTTCAAAGTGTATTTTCAATAAATCATTTATTTCATTGAAATCTTTCTTAAAGTGAACTGTCTGTTATTGTTGCCTCTTTTATTTAGTTTTTTCAACAAAATAAATAAATACACCAGCAGATGAACTTTCTATTCACTTGGCAAATCATATTTATCCTATCACATGAGTATCAAAAACCGGGTTGGAGTCTCGGAAAAGGTATAGATGTTTGTAATCGTATAGCGTCAGTGCGACAGGGGCAGTCAAAATACACGGCGAGCTGAAATCCTCTTGAGAAGTCGATGGTATGGAAAGAGGGATGAGAGACTTTCCGACCTCCCCAGGAGTTATTCTCCTTCGGAATTCCATGCCTAGCGGAAGCTTAATTGAAAAGGCCTGGCGATAACTAATATGCCTAGATGGAAGCACAAGTGCTGGCCTTTCTTGAATCTGTACCTATCAAGGGTATTGGTGACGATAGACATAAATGTGGATTATTCCTTTCGTTTCCAAAGGTCGCCGGTTTGAACTTGATGATTTTTATATCAATATTCAATTGAAGACGACAGCGCCTGTCAAAGCTGTTAGCGGTGTTCTGCAGTTTCACTGTCACTGGAAGTCAACATATTGATCACAAGTATGGGGCAGTGAAGTGCCTGTCAAAGCATTTGATTACCGATGGCAATGGCCTATGAACACAAGTGGTCAATTATAAGTCACTGCTTCCAGGCAGTGGAATGAATTTAGATGTATTATTAAAATTAAATTAAAAGGAAAATTATTATCCATAAACGGAATGTTCATTGTAACTGAAACATGTCAGTGATCAACCACTGAGTGATGACCCAAGACTATTGACTATCGAGAGCATTAGTCTTGGGTGACCTGTGAATTTCCATTTAATAATGTAGTACAGTGCTATGCTGTTGCAAAAGTATAACAGTATGCAACACTTGACAACGCAATGAACTCTAAGATAGCCCTCCAAAGGTTTCAGAAAACCTGCTAAAGACATTTCTAACGTCATAGCTGTGTTCCTCATACTTTTCTGTACTAATTGAATTAAATGGTTTTGAATATAAATTTAAATATTTACTCATTTTTGCATTTCTAGTGAATTATTTTATCTGGTTTCTAAACTGTAATCCAAATTTCGAATGTGTCAGAATACATTATTTATTCCCAAATACGAGTTTCATGCAAGTTACAAACTCCTCAATACAACTCAAAGAGATAAAATATATGTTCTTTAACATTTTAATGCCATTATCGGAAATATATGAAAATTCCCAGTTGCATGCTTTTAATTCACCTTAAATGTTTTATTATTGGGCTTGCATATCAAAACTAAATGTAGCACGACAATAGTTTTTGGAATGACAGGAAAGAAATATTATATTCATTCTCACAAGCGGAAGTAGTCATTTTATTTTTATTTACTTCTTTTTAAAAGGAATGCAATATATATAATTAAAATAAGTGGCATTGATTTTTTACAGTACATAGTATCTAAAATAGCAATTATCATAAAGGCTAAAAAAATTAATTATATTAAATCCATACTAACTACATTTTCTTACGTGTTTAATGTCGTTAAGGACATATTTGTCCACTAAAGCATAGTTGACAGCCATATCACCTTTCAGGAGCTTTCGTTTTTACGTCCGAAGATGACAGCAATAGCAGTACTTATCTTTTAATAACGATAATGGAATTTTAATGTCGCTAAGTTATGTCACTGAACAAACTTTTAAGTGGATTTACATTTATTCATATTCCAAAGTCTTTCGTCGCTGGAAAAAGTTAACTAGTACTTCGCGGTTGGTATAATAGTGAAATATTCTAGCTCAAGGTATAGGGTCTCTCAAACATTATAAAATTTTTTACCGAATAAATAAGATTTAAAATAAATGACCAACACGTACCAACATGAGTACCAAAAAGCACGCCATTTTACATTCATTCTGAACATTGTTTTAAATCTTGTGTGTAAATCTTGTACCATCAAAATAATAGGATGCATCATTAGTGTTACATTTACCACTGTTTGAGAAACCCTAT